GGTAACACTAAAGCAGGACACCTGGGAAGTCTCTTCAGCTCATCTTCCCAAGGGTGTCACCAGGGACAACACTCATGCACACACTGGTCACTGCTTTGTGACTCACTGGTTCCCACTGGAGGAAAGGAGATCTGGATATACAGGTAGAGAGCTGGCCAGCAACCCCTGGAGGCTTTCTTTTCCTGAGCCCCCCTAATAGCACCAAACAGAGGAACCTCTGCAAAGACGGCTCTTGAAGATGACAGGATTCCTTTGCTCCAGCTTCACTGGTTTAAGTTGCAAGATGATTCATAGAGTCATAGAATCATAGAATATGCTGAGTTGGAAGGGACCCATCAGGATCATAAAGCCCAACTCCTGGCCCAGATTGGGACACCCCGAGAGTCACACCATGTGCCTGAGAGCATTGTCCAAACACTTCTTGAACTCAGATAGGCTTAGTAGTGTGATCACTTTCCTGGGGAGCCTGTTCCTGTGCCCAACCACCCTCTGGGTGAAAAACTTTTTCCTGATATCCAACCTAAACCTCTTCCAACTCAGCTTCATGCTGTTTCCTCAAGTCCTGACACTGGTCACCAGGGAGAAGAGATTGTTACTTACCCCTCTGCTTTCCCTTGGGAGGATGTTGAAGACTGCAATGAAGTCTCCCCTCAGTCTCCTCTCCAATCTGAAAAGACCAAGTGACCTCAGCCGCTGCTCATATGGTCCTCTCCAGACCTCTTCACCATCCTTGTGCCCCTCCTTTGGATGCGCTCTAATAGCTTAATGCCTTTTTTATCTTGTGGTGCTCAAAACTGCACACAGTACTTCAACATAGTTCTTATTCTCTGCCTGTCAGGAAGAAACTATGGGATGATGCTGTTTTAGAAACATCAGAGGTCTTGATGAAAACTACATTTTTAATATATTTTTCCTGGTGCAGACAAAAACCTGGGGAAGTGAAGCAGTTGGTGTAGAAAAGAAAAAAAATAGGGCACAAAATAATTAACGTATTATAAGCTAATACAACACAGAGATCTGTTTTGCGCTCTGTGCAGATGTCCCCAAGCGTTCTAATTTGGATAGAGTAGCAGATGACAAACAGTTTTGTACACCAGATTAAACAAATCAACTCTAATCACGCTAAACTACAAGCACTGAATTATATCAAGCAGGTGGATCTCAACTTGTGTTTCAGTTTCTAAGCAAGAGAGAGTGCATGGAATTTCAACAAGAGGAACAAAATTTCCCTACATGCATGACAACAGAGAAGATATTGCCCCGAGTGACAGAAAAACAGTCACAGCTGACTTTGGCTCCTTTTCACTGCTCTGCCAGCAATGCATTTGCAGACTCCCTGTCTTTATTATTTCCACATGGTGGATGAGGAGGTGAAGTGTGTCTGGCACAGGCAAAGAGGAGAGGGACTACAGCTCCTAGCTATGGTCCTGTGAAATCACATGAAACACATGAAAGCCTCTTCCTACCTTGAATTGCTGCAACAGCTTTGCTGCTCTGGAACTCACAGTCCAGATGTGCCACGAGAGTCCAGCCATAGGCTCTCCCAGCAAGATAAACCATACCACCGGGCCACAGTCTCCCCTTCCTGTGAAAGGCATTGGAGCACGGCCAGCAAGCCTCCATCCCATCACAATGTTTGAGTGGCTGGAGACACATAGGGATGGGAAGAGTTTGGGATGGGCCATGAGGCTGCCCAGGTTGTGCTGGCCACCTGACTGGCCCAAAAAACTGGGCACCCTAAAAGCCAAAGGCCACAACTTCCTTCCTGTGACCAGGTGCAGCTTGGCCATCTCACAGCCCAGATGCTGTGCTTAGGTATACCAAAGTGTTCACTTAGATTCATGCAGCTAGAAGATCTTGCTTTGGTGATTTCTCACTCCTCCTCAGAGCAGGTCTCCTGGGGGACAGCTGGACCACCTGTCTCCTTTTCTGGCTGCTGGCACTGAGCAAGTTGTAGGATCACCATCTCCTTGAGACACACTTCATATTTGATGGGAGCCCTTAGCATTTGCAAATGATTCCTGGTAGGTGTGTGATCTTTCCCCATTTCTTGGTTCTCATGTTTTGAGAAGGCATTTCACAGGTAAAGACTGTGATGTTGCAGAAATCTGGTTTCACCTCTCCTCTTCTCTGTGGATGAGGTGACACCCCCAGTTAGTTTTCTAACATGTCCAGGTGCTGGAGGAGCTGAGTGCTGCCCACATCTGGAGGATTCCTGAGTTCAGCTGCGTTCGCAGGAGCTGTGCTAGGCGACCACAGGGTCAAATTATTTGGGTCTGGAGTTAGAGCTGAGATCTGCTGCCAGGCACAGAGGGAAGCTCCTGCAGAAGCTGACTTTGATTTGGGAGCACTGAGCCAGGAAAACTATTCTACCATCAGCTAATGCTCTGACTTCCTTCATTCCTGTCAGCCAGCCTTCTCATTAACAAATTAAGGTGAGCAGGGAACTCACTTTGGAAGAGGAAAACTAATGGAGTGAGATTGTTACAGGGCTGCTTGTCCTACTCCGTTACAAGTTCCACACAGCATCAGCAGAGCTCTGCTGGCCAGTGAGGATCTCTCCTATAGCCTGAATATCTGATTTTTCAGCCAGCAAAGATGCAAAGGTGCAAGAATTAAATCTCAAAACTACCGTTAATGCTTGAACTGCCAGGGTAAGCAGAAGGCAAACTTTTGCCATCTTCACCCGTGATGTATCACTTGCATCCCTGCACTGCAGGTGGTCTGCGTAAGCTGGAAAAAAGAGAGGAAATAATCTGCAGAGAGGCAAAAAACATCTGGGAGGATCATGATCATTTATTTTGGAATAGAAGAAAAGAAAGTCTGTGTTGTTTATTCCCAAAACAGGACATGGGCCAATCTGCATATCTATTTCCTGAGGCAGCAAAGGATTCTCAGTGTCTCTTTAAGGCCAAAATATATGTTGTAGCCATTGTGTTTTCAAACTGCTTCTGAGCAACACATTAATAACAGACTTGTTCATCCCAAGCTGTTCTGTGGCGGAGGGTGCGAAAGCATCAAGATTGTGGCAGAGCGCCCATTTCAATACAATGCTAGGCAGTATGAAATCTTAAACATGGCAATTCTGCCTGAAAACAGAACACAAACCCCCAGTTCTGAACAGAGGGCAATCTTCATTCATTAATTAATCATTTTTAATTCTTTCTATATGTTTACAGCCACACATATTTATCTATGCTATACATAGGAGAACATTTAATTTTCAGGGTAGTGGCACTGCAGTTTGCTTGCAGTTTCACCCATACTATGTCTTCCATCACGTTAACGGTGTGCGGTGAATTTGACTGTAGGCATCTTGGCCTCTAGTTTGTTTGGATTTTCACCATATCAAGGAAAGAAAGAAAAAAGAAGAGAGAATTGAAAGATGCATTTTTTTTTTTTAAAGGAAGAAAACATTTGTCAGAGAATTTCAGAGATACTTGTTGAACCTCATTTAAAATAATTTATTTAAAAGTGACCATAAAATTGACATTATCTCTTTAACTCCAGCTATGTTTTGCCTCTCCCTGCATAAAAAAGTATTATCTAGTATTTTTCACCAATGTCTCTCAAGAAAGATTTTAAAGCATCAACATTTTCAACTCAGTAATTGTACAAAGGTAATATGAGCTCTGAGCAACTTGTTGCTTTCTAAAGTGCCTTTTCACTGTAGGTGTGGAAATGTTATATAGAACTCGGTGCTACCTGTTCTCCAGTTCTCCACTCCTTTAGCTTTTTTTCTGAGCCTTTTTTCTGGTAACGTACTACTTCAGCATGAAAGGTCAGTGATATCTACACTCGTCTCCTGGACTTACTGAATGCACAAACGACTTGTTGAAGAGTAAGGAATTTCTGCTCAGCTACCAGAAAAAATTGTTTGCATTGGATTTATTTCTCTTGTGCTATAATTAAACAAACTTGATTATATGTCACTGATATTCCCATTATTATGTAGGTACAGACAATGCACAGTCGCCAAAGTATGTTATTGTTATATCCTAACAGACTATTGTTTTGCAGAGGGAGCTTCCCAATGAAACTTGGAGAAGGCTGTGTGACTAAGCTGAGCAAAAACAACATTAGTGACCAGAAGAACAAATCTACATGGCTACTAAAGAAAAACAAGACATTTCTGTTGGGAAGCCAAGCCAACCTGCTATATAGGGGTCACACTGAACATGTATAGAACTGACTGGATGACAACCTCCTGCAGCTGCCTACAGCTGAAAGCATAGGCAGGTGTAAATAATTTTGAGATTGTGTGTACATCCAACCTGGTATCCCACCCTTGCGCCTGGTTGCAGCTCAGCCACAGCAATGCCTCACAACAAGCTCTCAATGATATAATTAACTGCAGACATCAGGCATGTCTGCTTCATTACTGCTGTGTACTGCCTGCAGGTTGTTTCCAAAGCCTTTCCACCTAATGGCCTTTGCTGTCAGCTCTCTTTTTTCCCTATGTGCTGATGGTTGGCACTTCTCTAAAACAGTGCTAATGATCTAATAAATATGATTATGCAAGAGTGGTTTGTCTCCTCACTTCATAAGCTAACAGTGCTACTACAGACCAGAGTAAAATACATTCTCTTTGCCAGAAAGAATGGCTTTCCCAGTAAATTGAAATTAATAAACTGGAATGAGTAGAAAGTGTTACAGACCTACAACTGGATCACATTTTACTGGATTTCTGTTGATGGATAAGGGTAAATAAGGTTTGAAATTTTGCCTTCTAATTAATTATTATGAGTTAAACATCAAAAAAAAAAAAAAAAGAAAAAAATGGCATTTCAGTCAGTGGGAGGAAAATAAGCAGAAAAGGACTAAGGAAAACAGAAAATAAGACCAGTGAGAACAACAAGATCCAATGAGAACGTGTCAAACAGTGTGAGAGGGGCAGAGAGCACAGCCAACCCTGATGGCCTCATGTTGCTTCATTTTATATTCTGGCAAATGACACATGGGGCTGGGAGAAAGAAATATGATGTTTGTGGGATTATTTATTATCAGAGGCCATTTCCTCAGTATGCTTCTTGTTGAAAACCTCAGGCTTATCACTGAGAACAATTTCTTCTCGAGACTGAGCATTTGGCAGCGGCAGCCCTCAAATTGGCAGCTTGCAGGATACATCCACCTCCCTTCAGAAGCTCACACACTGTTTCACATGCAAGTGTCATTTCTGGAATCCTAACATGGTCAGGCCACCTCTTTGCTTCGTATACTACTGAGGTTGAGTCACTGAAGCTTTATGTAACAAAGCTGAATGCTAAACTCTTTCTTAAAGTTACCAGAAGAAAAAAACTTAAGTAACAATAGGCCTTTTCTGTCTGCACTGAGATTTCCCTTCCAAGCCTGCAGTATTTTCACTAGCTTTGTAAACCTAATCCCATTACTTCTCCCTGCCCTTATGGCTCGCAGGACCTTTCCTCCTTTCACCCTTTGGCTTACAGTGGCTCTCGTTGTTCTGTGAATTCAAGCTCTTGGCCTCATTTTACCATGTTACTTAGTTGTCCTTCTTTTTAGCAGGGATAGTTGTCCTCACTCAAATAACCCTTCTGGTTGTTACAGCTTTTTCAGGGCCTTACCATTATATTCTTATTCTTATCATACATCTTCTTAAAACCCTTTTCTGTATTGCAGCACCAGTGCTACACCAAACACATGTAAGGTTATCCTTTCAGTTTCTTATTATCAGAGCATTTGCCTAATCTGCCTGTTCTTAGTCTGGGGCTCAGAGTCCCTCAGCAAATTAACAGTCTTGCTTTTTTACACTGTTCTTTGAGAAAGAGTATTTCCTATCTGCCTGCCTTGCCTTGCCCCATGGATCTGGTTCATATCTGCTTGGCACGTTAGCTAGTTATTTCTTAGAGAACAAAAGGAACGTAATCCTTTTAGAAACACTTCAGTATGAACCACCACGTTTCCTGCCTTCAGCACCTCTGCCTCTAATTTACTGATTTGCTGTTATAGATTTGCTATCATTGCTGATCTGACTCAGCCATCTCATAAAAAACACCAAAGAAGAACTCCGGACCCAGCTCAGCCTCTAAGTCATTTCGCTGTCCCTGCTGTGCATCACCGGCACCTCTGATGGCCCTGGTTACCACTGAAGATCCTAACCCTTTTGATCAGGAGCGGAGGCAGCAATGACTTGAAGTCAGCCATAGACTTTATCCTCACTTGCTGGCATGTTGTGCTAGGCAATAACGACTCCCTAACAGCATGATGGTTACATTACCTGAACTTTCTTTGTTCACATGGAGAACATCTGGGGTGAGAGAGAAGACATCTTTCTGACCATGCTAGGAATAATGAAGTCTGATTTCTCTTCCACTTAAATCTCATTTGGCTGACTTTGAGTCTTTCCTTTGGCTCAGACAGGCTTTTCTGTCATCATTAATCTTAAATATTAATACTACATTAACAACTGTGCAATAATTTTCAACATGTAGATGGTTGACATTGAAAAAGGGAAATATTTAAGGATTTCCTTACCGTATGGAGAGACGAGTACCAGACCCGAGATTAAATTTCTGTGACTTGCTTTCCTTGTCTTTTTGTTCTGATCTCAGTGACATACAACCATGCTTTTGCTGTAGAAAACACAGACATAGAAAGTCACTTGTGCCTGCCAGCTCATCGTGGGCTTTCTAGGAATACAGAATCCTTTAAAAAAAGGAGCCCACTGCTACATTAGAAAGGTGGACAACACAAAATCATTAAGATGACTGCTCAATAAAACTCAGCTTTTGAAGATCAAGGCAGGTCATGTGAAATGCCCTCGTGCTTTGATAAGTTGTAAGTTTGGCATGAACTCCATTTTGAGTACTTGTGGATCAAGTGATTTTCTCTCCTGTAAAACATTGTTGATTGAACAACCGTTACGGTTTTGATGAGGGACTTTCAAATGGCTGTTGGAGTAGCAGGAGATTTCACACCAAGAGAAGCAAATGTAAAAAAATGGGTAGCAATTTCCCTTGGGCCCAATGAGCATTTAGCTGACATGTCTGTACAGAACAAAAGGCCTGGGTGTTAAACCATCCATTGCCTCTGCTGAGAGACAGTGCAAGTTATATCTGATAGCCATTAAGAGGTGCTTCAGTTAAGCACCCATAACTGTGCAGCTCTTCACTAGAAAATTTGCTGATATTTTGAAAACATGTGGTACTTCCCTAGTCTCAAAAATCCTTGACAACCTGTCAAAGATAAGAGTCAGTGTCTAAGTCTCCACACTAATAATTACTGCTCTAACCTGCTAGAGAAAGTGCCAGATACTCACCTTCCTCTTAGGAAATGTGATATCTCTGGTAGCTAATTACATCTCTTTTTAAGGTATTTAAAGCAACTGTCCATTCTGACCCTCTCCAACAATGTAGCTTCTGTCAACTGCTTTTGAGAGCTCTGGGAGACCACTGGCTGGTAGCAGATTTCCATTCTTCCACTGTTGTTAGTCTGTGCTTGTAAACAGTGACAGAAAACAGAAACATGAGTGTTGTTTGAACAGCCAATATTTGCTATAGAATAGCAAATTTGCTAAGAAAGTGTCTCCACAACTAGGGGCAGATCCCACAGCCTCTGCTCAAGTGAGTTATCTCTCTGCACACAAGTGGTGCTGTCAAGTTCAATAGGCCTGTCTGTGCAAGGATCAGACTCACCGGCCTCCCATCATCTGTGGCATGGGACAAAGATGTGGACAGCTTTTGCATTGCTGATCCTCTGTGTATTTTTGCATGAGTTTGGGAATCTACTCTTAGTGGGCAAGAGTGTGTGTGGGGAAAAAATGCAAATAAGGTGAAAATCACCAGAAATTTAAAAGGGATCTTCCCCCACCTAAACACAGTCTATCAAAGTTAATGTGCCATTGCAGGAAGTGCTGCATTGCATATAAAAATGCTTCCTTGAAAGAGTCATTAAAATTGCAAAGTCAAGTAGCCAAACAAAAGAGGCCAATATTTAGGCTGCTCACACACCATTATTTCTGTACTTCTATGTTTCAGCGTTGCAATAGAGCCTTGAATGTCAGGACTACATAGCATTTAGCTTGCTTTTCTATGGGAAGGAGGCCCCTGGGGTCATGCTATCTGTGTAGGTGTGTGTCTACTCGACAATTGTTCCCTCCCTGGCTTTTGAAACCATCCACCAGTTTCAGCTAAATCCTAAAGATACTATACTACCCTAAATATATGGAAATTAGAGGTCCAATTGAGGAAAGACATCCTGCTAGAGATCCGGTAAGAGAGAGCAAGAGAAACCCAGCCCTTCAGAGCTAACAGAGCAGCCTGAAGGAGGAGATGCTTAAAATACTCCAGGTATGAGAAAAGCCTCAGCTGGTCTCCATGCTTTATTAAAAACTTGGGCACAGTCAAAGTTTACTCCTCTGATGGTTCTTTAAACGGGATAAGTATCGTGGTGACACTGCAGACTGGTCCCAGAGCTCCTTGCTTCTCTGCACAGCCCAGACCCACACAGTCAAGCGCTTCCCATAGGGGCAATGCTACAACACTGGCTTGGCCCACACTGTGGGGAGTCCCTCAGCCTCTGCCCTGCCTGCTGCCTTCCATGAGAAACATCCCTTCTCCATGGGATCTGCTGTGGCAGCTGCTGCCACAGAAGCATGAGGGCTTTGCAAACACAGGGTAAGCCATCTCTGAAGCTCCCAATCAGGATGCCTGGCTTCAAGGGGAAGAGATTCAAGTCCTCTCCTGCTGTGGAAATGTGCAATAGACTTATTATGCAGCTGCCCTGGGAGGTATTGGTCCTTCTCATGCAGTAAGTTGACAGTGAGATGCTGTACAAACCTCTGGGGGAGAGCAGTGCAGGTGGCTCTCTGGAGAGAGAGTGGCCATGGTCAGGAGCAAACATGAGGAGCAATTGATAAGCAGGATGGAGGGACAGCAGCCTGGAGTGGCTAAGCCTGAACCCATCTTCCCGAGACTGAGGAAGACCATTACCTCTACAGATAGGAAACTGAAGATCAGTGAAAGGGCAAGTTGGATGCTGCTTCCTTTGTGGAGAGGAGCCTTATGAAGAAGTGGTGTTTCTTCCAGGCAGGGGCTGAAGGAGTGAAGAGGAGGCTGAGCTGCACAGGGGTTTGTAGCCATGGATCAATGTTGCTAGTCAAAGATGAACACCAATTTTAAACTTGTGCTCAAACCCCTCCGTGTCCTGTGAAACAGAATCTAAGATCCTCTGTAAAGTATGTCATAGTGTTACACGTTTATTTTTTATGAACCAGGCCCAGTTGCATGCTGTCCCTTCTATTTGCAGTCTGTGAAGCCTTTTGGTGTGGCAGTATTGTTAGAGCCAAAGGTTTAAAGATTTTTAGGTAGGTGCAATAACTTCTATGAGGCCAATTAATATAGCTGGAGAAAGCAGATGAGGTCTGGGGCATGTACACTCCTCAGGAAAGGTGAGGTGAATTTCAAACCTAACTGCACATGGGGAACAATTGTTCTCTAATTCTCTAATAATTCTCTAATTAGACCTGTGTCTGAGCTAGCCATCTGACAGCACCTGTGGAATATAAAGAAAATATTGGTAGTTATCTCCTAAGGGGAAAAGAGATGCAGGTAATCTATAGAATAATAGCAGCATGAGGTAGAGCACTGAGAGTTTGATTATTGAAAAAGGTACAGAGAGGAGGATGGTAACTTATTAAAAAATGTTAGTATTCAGGGAAGTGATGAGATAATACAGCTCCCATATTTACCTGAAAAATGTTTTATAGGATTTCCTTTGAGAATCAGGACTGGGAGATCAGAGGTAGAACAACTACACTGTAAGAAGTGTTGTCTGTTGGAAGCACTTCATCCCAGCTGACTCATACAAAGAGTTGAAGATTGTATCTTTTGACAGGCTGAGAAAGAAGCTTTCTTTTGCCTTTGCAAAGTTGTGCCTAGTGCATTTCAAACTCCCGATCATTTGGCAGATCCTTGCTGTCTCATATTAGCTGCTAAACCAAGAATTCCTCCTGATGAAGAGGTTCTAATATGACTTTTTGATCAAGACTGCTCAGTTTCTAATTGAGGGTGTGCATCAGCCAAAATAGGATGATGCCTCAGCTGCCTGCGTCATGTCTCATCTCATTTGCTACTGATATTTGGAGGCTGGTGGGGATCCCTGCTTTTCCTATGTGCCTAAAGCCAGATGAGAGGTTCCAAATTCACTTGTCCATGTCCCAAGAGGTATCAATCTGTTAGGCTGTGCTCATCTCCCAGTGTTAGTGAAAATTACCCCCAACAGGTAGATGACTGAGTAGCTCCTTTCACACTCAGTTTTCCAGGACCTTGATGAGCAGAATTTGACAAATGGGGATGGGACAGAAATTTCACTGGTTGCCTCAGCTGATGGTGATTCATCATTTCATCCCAGGAATGGACAAGGCCACCTGGTTTCTGCAGGCCAGCCCAGCCACATAAATGGAGAAGCCTGGTCTTGTGGGGTGGACAGTCTCCCTGCTCTCAGATCCACTCACCCCAGCATTGCTGCAGCCCCTGGCTAGGGAAGCAGATCTCAGACAGTCCCCTTGTCTAGGGATACAGAATCACCTGAGGTCTCAGGGAGCTGCTCCTCAGGCTCCAGCCCATCTCTTCTCAGCATTTGGGACCTGAGATGGTCCAAGGCTTGTAGGTGGGGTCGATTTGCTAAAAAGTAAAAAAATACTCCTGATGCTGGTGAGACTCCCAAATTTGCCTCCCTCAAATTTAAGTCCATATTCCAAACCAAAGCTTCTTAACAACACAGAGCTAGGAACGCTTTCGTATTCGCAGTGCTACTGAAGTTTATGCTCTGAAATACTTGAAAAAGAAAAGTGATGCGGAGTCTTGTGGGTGGTTCAGAGCTGACACCTGGAATAGGTAATGCCAGCTGACAGAACATTCCAGGAAAGCTGCAAATACCTGTGTGACTGTATGCATGAGGAGCTACTCGGTTCTGTGACAGTAGCCCATGTCTCCCATGGTTGCCATGGAGATGAAGTCTGAGAGGCCTTCACTCTTTTATGTCCCTAGAAGATCCTGAGATAGCCTTGAGGCAACAGTCAAGCCCAGCTGGTGCTAATGCCAGCTGGAGGACTCATTGATCCTCTCAGGTGAGCAATATGGAAGGTCAGATCCATTTGTTGTGGGCATCAAGGAGCTGTTCATTAATGGGGTCCCTGGGCTCTTGAGTCACAACTCCAGTTGGAAAGCCACTTATGGTAAATTTGAATTACCTCTGGCAGCAAATGAGTCATGGAGGTTCGGCTGCAGTGGATGGATTCCTTGGTCCTGGCACTTTGCCTCAGTGCACAGATGTGGAACAGTGGAAGGTGAGAAACTACTAGCAGAGCAGCTGGGGTAACACATGGCATTTTGTGTGCATTTTGTTTTCCACCTCAGACCCACTGTTTGTATTCTGCTCACATGATGATAAAAGCTGAGCCTCACCTGGGTGGTGGAAGATGGAAGTTGCCTTGGAAACTTGCTGCAAGACCTTGATGGCTTCTGGACAGCTTCCGCAAGGCTCTGGGCTTTGCACACACCAGCAGCAGGCTGGTCTCCTTTTTGTAAGTTGCTGTTTTTCCATCATGCCTTTTTTCCCCGGATGGGAACCCACCACTGTGGATTCTTCTGGTGCTGTGGGGGAAGCAGCAGTGGGAAAGTGGGCTTACTCACTTTCACAGAGCTCAGATGTACCTCTAAGTCTGGCCAAACCTTCAAGGAGAGGTACAAAGCAGCTGAACAGAAAAAAGCAAACTCTAAAAAGTGGAAAGGATCATTAGTCTTCCACGGCCTCAGTGTCAATTCTCTCAGCTTCTGTGTAAGGTGGAGAGTCCTCACTCCTCATCATGCTTCCCAAGCACTGTGCAGCAATTGTCCATGATGGCCACTAAGATGGAACCAGATCGCTCACTGCTGGAACAGGATTCTGCTCCCATGGCTTAGCATATGGCTCACACATTTGACCTCATTGTGTCCTTCTTGTCCATGAGGCCAATGTGCCATCCACAACTCTATCATGTATTGTGCAATGGGAAGAGGGGAAAGTCAGGCAGAAGAGGAAGGTGCCAACAAATATAAATCAAAATCACAGTAAATGGCAGACATGGAGTATGGAATGGCCAGGAGGGGAAGAACCAGCTTCTGTCCTGTCCTATGAAAATTGTTTCTTACAAGGAGTCTAGTTCCTTTTCCAACACTGGCCTCTATTGGAGTTCTGGAGACCCTATTCCCAAACATATATATAACTCCCAAAAATTACACAATAAGAATCCCCTTCTAAATGATGAATGGCATTCAGGATCTCCCACTGTTATCATCTTTCTTGTTTCTGTGGACAACCCTGTCCTCAGAAAACCTCTTTTGCTAGAGGATTTTGTGTGGGAGCAGAGAGATCCAGCAGCAGCAGAGCTCTGATAAGAAGGACAACATGGTGTGTGAGGCCCTGCAGACCAGACACGTGACCTGCTTGTGGGTCATTGAGAAACACCTAAAGGTACTTACAACAAGATGATGTGTACAAGACTCATTGTGAGATGTTGTGGGAAAAGCATTTTTTGGGATTTTTTCAAGAGCTGTGGGAACGTACAGGACTTAGTTCAGGGTGTTGGGGGATGGATTAAAAGTGGGGAAAGGATGGAATTGAGGTGGATTGGAAAGGAGTGAGTGTCAGAAAAAAAAGAGCATAGAAAGGGCAGGTCGGTATGCTCTCCTGAGCCCTGCCTGCACGTGATCGCTCCAATCTGTTCTGTATTCTCATTAAAACCTATTTTCATCTGGTAAAACCAGAGTGTGCTTTCTGTCCGAGTGGGTGTGTGCGAGCATAGCAAGCGTGATCCTGGACTGGTTGGTGAGCAGCGGCAGAGGGCTGAACACTGCAGCAGCAGCAGGGCTGCGAGCCAGGGGCTTGCACATCCAGGTACCAGCCATGGGGTAGCAGAGCAGGGGGTCAGGAAGCAGCTACAGGATTCTGTGTCCAAGGACAGCTGCCTCTGTGTGTGAATGTACATGTCCACATATCATTAATGGTCTTCAACCCTTCAACCCTAACCAGATGTCAGGGAAGAAGAGAATGGGGCAGCAGGCTTCTCTGGCTTCTCTGGCAGGCAGGGAGACCAGCCTGCTAGGAAGAAACAATTGTCAACACAGCAGGACAGATCTGAACCCTTAAATTCATCACAACTCCAAAGGCAAGAATTTTTCCTTTCAAAGCTTTTCTTGCTCTGGGCTCTTGAGTGCTCTGTGGAGACACAGGTTTGTCACAAAATGTATGGATTGCACCAATGTGAAAGAGGTACAATCAGATCTACAGGTTGGAACAGAGACACAAGAAGGCCGTGCTTGTTTCCTATAAAGATCAGCCATCACTAGAAGGTAATGTTAATCAAAAGAGTGAACCAGGAGGGGATGTTAAAGCATGGGAATTCCACAAGGCTCAGAATCAAACAGTCCACTGGGCTGCCAAGGGCTCCACCATTAACTGTCAGACAGAGAGGTGGCCATTCTCAATTTTTGAATTCCTTCTGTATTTGTAAGGAACACTTTCAAAGTAGTGCAGGATATCCTTCATATATTATCTTCCTTAATTAGAAACAATGTGATAGTTTTAGTTTCTGCAAAGTATCACCCAAAGAAAGCCTACCTATGTTTGATGCTCCGCCATGATGAAGTTTGAGATGAAGCCACATTGCAAAGCTTTACAAGACACCTCAAAGGCAGTCTTTACAAGGCAGTCTTGCAGATTCATGTGAAATAAGTTTTAGACTAAACTGCAGAGAAGAGAAAACAGTGAAAATTTTTATAGTTCTAGAGTAACCCTTTAGAGAAAAGTTTTTACCATTGTGCGATATTAGAGCTACATATATTCCATGGAATATACCCTATATGTTATATGCAAACAGAAAATGTTTGACATCGCTGCATAGAATTGCAAGTAGCTACAGGTTTGGAGCAGCAGCAGCCCGAGTGTGGTCCCAGAGGCTGTCATTTCATTTAGAGGCTGGACTGGGGAGAATTACAATCACTATATTCCTGTTCTGCAACAGCCTTTTTAGCTTCAGCCAAGGCCTGGCACTGCAGCTACACTGTCATACTGCAACTTATAGGAAGATGTGTTAAGCCCTCACAAACATTTTCTTGTCAAAAGGAAATGATTAAGTTACAGGAGCTTTTTTCTTTTTTTTGGTCAAGTGTGCAGAAAAAAGGAAAACCTCTTCAGTTTTCAAGGGTATGCTTCTTAATAGCAAATAAATGCTTAGAAGGAACCACTTCCAGGGCTGCAGGCCACAGGGTCAGTTTGTTTCTTCATGCTTATGTCTCTCCAGCTCCTTTAGGCTTCTGGCCTCTTCCAGGGACAGTGACCTCTGGAAAACATTTATTAAAGTATGTCGCCAGTGATGGGAATGAAAGCCATGCAGAGATGCACCTAATGGGCTTGAAATTTGATGTCCTAACCACATGCACAACCAGTGCAGTTTGGACAGCAGAGTTTTCTGATTTATTTATAACCAACATGGACAAGAAAGAGGAGCCACACCAGAATTTCCTTTGAAGGCAGAGTTTATGATACTACATGGTTGTGTCTGCAACATCTTCTAATACTATTAGGAAGAGAAGGAGGTTGGCTCTGTGGGGCAGCTTGTGCTGTGGCAATTCAAGGTGGTGACTCTCAAGGCAGCACCATGAGACCTCCCTGGGACCAATGAGGGGGGGACAGCTGGGGGCGTCCCTTTGGTAGGGGAGGCCTAGGTTCCCCCAGGGAAGTCCTCCCATCCCCAGTACTGATGTGCTAAGGGGGAGGGAAGGTGGTTGGTTTTTAGCATTGGCTGGGTGGACACATGCGCTCGTGTGTCTCCCTTCATCCTCACCAGGGAGACAACCCAGGTGTCTTCAGAGGACTTTTAGTTCCCTCCTCAGCCCCGAACTCCAAGCCAAAGCAGTGTGGCTCTGTAACATAAACCAAGTCAGATTGAGAGCACTCACTTTGGAGACTTAAATGCTTAAAAAATTAATAAAAAGAAGTCATGGTGGACCTAAGCCAACTTATTCTGTGTAGACTGTAGGATGCCACAGATATGAGCCAAGCAGCCAGGATGGATCCAGCCCAATAGTGCTGTGTGAGCCCCCCTAGGCTGTCTGGCCAGACACTAAATAGAAGTGTCTTCAAGATGTTTATTTAGGAAGGGGCATGGCTAATGAAGAAATGGGTCCTGCTGAGCAATAGGGCTGCTGCTCAAGGTAAGGAAGGCAGACATGTACCTGTGGGGCTCTCCTGCTCCAGAATTTCTGCTGTTTGAACAAAAGGCTTGCAGGACTCAATCAGAGCAGCTGACAGGGTCAGGATTGTGCCACAGTTCTGCCTGTCTATCAAGATAAACCTGTCTATCAAGCTCCAGTGGGCAAAGGGTCTTCTCTTCCTTGAGCTGTGGCAGATGTAATAACGCTTGTCCTCTCCCCATTGTGTCTGGGCTCAGACAAATTCCTTCCTGACCTAAGCTGATGGGTGGCAAGCCTGTACAAACCCACAAGATCCAAGGGCATATCCTAGGAAACACAAAGCAGTAGCCCAAAAACTCTGCAATTGGCTTGTTCTAGGACCAGTGATAGGGAGAGCTGCAAGGGCTCTTCCAGGGTTCACACAACTTAAGATGTAACAAAAAAG